TGCCAGGGCTCAAGCCCCATTCAGAAGGGTACCCCTGTGGCATGTGGACCCTTTCCATGTCCTCACGGTACAGGCCAATGAAGCTTCTGGCAAAGACCCCAGGAGGTGTACAGGCGATGAGGTCCTACATCCACAGTTTCTTGGCTGTCAGGCATGTGCCACCCACTTTGAGAACATGGCCAAGGAGAGCATGTCCCTTGTGGGGGAAACTGTCCACCGCCATGCTGTGGCTATGGTCCCGCATAACCACGTCAACAACAGACTGGCAGGTGCTCTGAGTGAGGACCCCCACTCCCTAAGATCCAGTGGCCGTCCCCAGAGCTGTGTCCCAGCTGCCATGGGGTTAAGAAGAGTGGAGAACACACCTGGAACCAGGAAGAGCTGCTCACCTTTCTCCGCTCCCACTTCTCCTCTGAACACCTCCTTTTGACTACCTGGAGGAGGAGGCCCAGCTCATAGCAGGCAGAAGGAGAGCTTGGTCGCCAGGCAGCAGGAGAAGGACCAGGAGGTAAGAGAGGAGCAGAGAGGAGGGCCAGTGAGGCCTTGGCTGAACCACCTCAGGCCAGGAGGAGGAGGAGGAGGAGAAGAGGGATGAGGAGGAAGGGGCTCAAGAAGAGCCAGCAGCAGAAGAGGAGGTTAGAGCAGAGGGCAAGAGGAGAGGCGCAGGGGGGTAAAACCTCTGAACCCCCCCCTGGGTAAAGCCTGAGGCAGACGTGTCCCGCCAGGCCCAGCGCAGGCCCAGCATCGTGGGGTTGAAGCTCAGGCCCCCCAGGAGGAGATTGTGGACCTGGACTCCTTCGTAAACCCAGCACTACAAGGCTAAGGCCCTCCGCGCTGCAGCCGCAGGGTCCTCCCGCGTCAAACGCAGGACCTGCAGAGGAAGGAAGAGCCGCAGCCTGGAGCCAGTCTGGAAAATGGGCCAGGGCTGGGGCTGGGGCTGCAGCCCGTAGAGCCGGAGGACTTGTTGGGGCAGCGCAACACTCTGTGGAAGAGGATCCTGACGGGCCAGTATACTGGGTCAGAGGAGGAGGGGGCTCTGGAGATGTACGCTCATTCTAACAAGAGGCGCTGGATGTCCTTCCTGAGCGTGGGCTTCTCCAGACTGGATATCAGCCTGTGTGTGCTCCTCTACTTCCTGTCCTCCATGTGTCTGCTGGCCATGTATATCTTCTTCAAGAACCGCCTGCGGCTGCGCCGGGCCAAGGGGCTCTGCCTGAGTCAAATCTGCTTGCGTGCGCTGTAGATTTACCCATGCATGTGACAGTGATGCTGGTGGGCCAGTTCTTAAAAACCCTCCAAGTGAGATCCGTAGTGTTCCGCATCAAGGATGCTTTGTGGTGCTTGCTTCCCGGGATAAGAATTTATGACGACGTATGCTTTTTTTGTGGCCTTTTTGACCACTTGTGAAGGATGATTTAAAAACTCTAGGAAATTAATGGGATGTGATTTATATTTGAGTGAATACAACAAAAGGGTGGTTTTGATTATTTATTGTATTTTAGGAGTTATATGCATATATAAATTTCATTATGTGAACCAAAGGAATCATCTATAGTTTCCCCCATGATACACGTTAGTCGTAATTCAATATACAAGACACAGCTCATACTGTACTGCCAGCACTTCAAAGAGTCCAGTAAGCGTGTCTTAAACAACTAGAGAACCATTGTATATTTTGAGAATGAAATCAACCTTCTATTTGAAAATGTTGATTTTACAATGAGAATGTGCCTTGAATGAAATTGGGAGAAACAGTGCCTGACCGATGATTTATCCATATTAATTGTAGCATTAAGCAAGCGGATGTTTCCAAAAAACAAAGATGAATATGCTCCTGTCAGTCGCTCTGGTAAGCGGCTGCTTAAATTTGACTAAAATGTTAAAGAATGTAAAGGACTAGACTGAGAAGAAACTGTCTGGATCAGTTATATGGAGGTGAGCGTGGTATCACTAGGATGAGACAGAAACTGCTGGATAAGTCTATGGAGAGTAACGAATCGACTGGGACAGAACGGTCTGGATCAGTTATGGAGAGTAACGAACTAGACTGGGACAGAACTGTCTGGATTAAGATAGGGAGAGTAACGACTAAGACTGGGAACAGAAAACGGTTGGATCAGTATATGGAGAGATAAAGACTAGACTGAGACGACTGCCTGGATCAGTATATGGAAGAGTAACGACTAGACTGGGACCAGAACTGTCTGGATCAGATATGGAGAGTAAGACTAGACTGAGACAGAACTGCCCTGGATCAGTATATGGAGAGTAACGGACTAGACTGAGACACAGAACTGTTGGATCGTATATGGAGAGAGGGTAATCGACTAGAACTGGGACAGAACTGCCTGGATCAGAGTATATGAGGGGAGGGTTATCGACTAGATGAGGACAGAAAACTGCCGGATCAGTATATGGAGAGAGGGGTATCAACATACTGGGACCAAGAACTGTCTGGATTCAGTTATGGAGGGAGGGTTCGGCCTAGACTGAGACAGAACTGGTCGGGATCAGTATATGGAGGGAGGGTGACGACTAGATGGGACAGAACTGCCTGATCAGTTATATGGAGTTTTTGAGGGGGGTATAAACTAGACTGAGGACAGAACTGTCTGGATCCCAGTTATGGGATGAGGGTATCGACTGACTGAGACAGAACTGTCTCACGGATAGTATGGATGAGGTTGTATCAACTAGACCTGAGACAGAACTGTCGGGATCAGTATATGGAGAGGTAACGACTAGACATGGGACAAGAACTGTTCTGGTCAGTATATGGAGGTAACGACTAGAATGGGACAGAACTGTCTGGATCAGTATATGGAGGGAGGGCATCAACTAGACTGAGACAGAAACTGTCTGGATCAGTATATGGAGCGTAACGAATTGACTGAGACAGAAATGTCTGGCTGAATCAGTATATGGAGAGTAACACTAGACTGGGACAGAACTGTCGGATCAGATATGGAGAGTAACGATAGATGGGACAGAAACGTGGATCGTATATGGAAGAGTAACGAAGGGACGGGACAGAAAAGAACTGCCTGGATCAGTTATATGGGAGCGGGTATCAAATAGACTGAGACAGAAACTGCCGGGATCAGATATGGAGAGATAACGTACTAGACGGCGGACAGAAACTGTTGATAAGTATATGGAGAGTAACGACTAGACTGGGACAGAACTGTTCGTGGATAAGTATATGGAGGGTAACGACAGACTGAGACAGAACTTGCCTGGATCAGTATATGGAGGGAGGGTATCGATAGATGAGAACAGAACTGTCGGATCAGGAATGGAGGGAGGGTATCAACTTAGGACTGAGACAGGAAACGTCTGGGATCAGTATATGGAGGGAGAGGGTATCGGACTAGACTGAGACCAGAAATGTCTGGATCGTATATGCGAGAGTAACGACGTAGACTGGGACAGAACTGTCTGGATCAGTATAGGGAGGGAGGGTATCAACTAGACTGAGACCGAAACTGTCTGGATCAGTATGGGATGAGGTGTATCGACTAGACTGAGAAGAACTGTCTGGATCAGTATATGGAGGGAGGTGTATCAACTAGACTGAGACAGAACGGTGGAGCAGTATATGGAGAGTAACGACTAGGACTGGGACAGACTGTCTGGATCAGGTATATGGAGAGTAACGACTAGACGAGACAGAACGTCTGATAGTATATGGAGAGTAACGACTAAGACTGGACGAATGTCTGGATCAGTATATGGAGAGTAAACGACTAGGACTGAGACAGAACTGCCTGGGATACAGATATGGAGGGAGGGTACGATAGACTGAGACAGAAATCGTCTGGGATCAGTTATATGGAGGGAGGGTATCAAGAGACTGAGGACCGAAATGTATGGATCAGTATATGTGAGGGAGGGTATCGACTAGACTGAGGACAGACTGTAGGCAGTATATGAGAGTAACGAAATAGACGGGACAAGAACTGTCTGGTCAGTATATGAGGGAGGGATCAACTAGACTGGACAGAACGTCTGATCAGTATGGGACTAGGTGTGTATCGACTATTACAGCTCCCTGAGGGACGCCCTGGACAACACAGCAGAGGTCCCCGATGCTGCTCGCCTGATGGGGTGAGGTGGGTGGCTGCCAGGGCTCCCAAGCCCCACTTCAGCAGGTCCCTGTGGCCATGTTGACCCTTTTCCATGTCCTCACGGTAAGGCCAATGAAGCTTTGGCAAAAGACCCCCAGGAGGTGCTATGCTACAGGCGGATGAGGTCCTACATCGACAGTTTCTTATGGCTTGTCAGGACATGTGCCACCACTTTGCGAACAGGGCCAAGGAGAGCAGGCCATTGTGGGGAAAACTGGAAAACGGTCCAACCGCCATGCTGTGGCTAGGTCCCGCCATAACCACGTCAACAACCAGGACTGGCAGTGCTCTGAGTGAGGATTCCCCCACTTCCCTAAGATCCAGTGCGTCCCCAGAGCTGTGTCCCAGCTGCCATGGGCGTTAAGAAGAGTGGAGAACACACCTGGAACCAGGAAGGAGTGTCACCTTCGCCGCTCCCACTTCTCCTCTGAACACCTCCGTTCTGAATACCTGGAGGAGGAGCCCAGCTCATACGCAGGCAGAAGGAGAGCTTGGTCGCCAGGCAGCAGGAGAAGGACCAGGAGGCTAAGAGTAGGAGCAGAGAGGAGGGCCAGTGAGGCCTTGGCTGAACCACCTCCAGGCCAGGAGGAGGAGGAGGAGGAAGAAGAGGCATGAGGAAGGAAGGGGATCAAGAAGAGCCAGCCAAAGCAGAAGAGCGAGGGTAGAGCAGAGGGCAAGAGGAGAGGGGCAGCAGGGGGTGTTGCTAAACCTCTGAACCCCCCCTGCGGTAAAGCCTGGAGGCAGAGGTCACGCCAGGCCCAGCGCAGGCCCGGCATCGTGGGGGTTGAAAGCTCAGGCCCCCCCAGGAGGAGATTGGGGACCTGGACTCCTTCGTCAACCAGCACTACAAGGCTAAGGCCCTCCGCGCTGGCAGCCGCAGGTCCTCCCGGTCAAACGCAGGACCCGCCAGAGGAAGGAAAGGAGCCGCAGCCTGGAGCCAGTCTGGGAAACTGGGCCAGGGCTGGGGCTGGGGCGCAGCCGTAGAGCCGGAGACTTGTTGGGGCCAGCGAAACACTCTGGGAAGAGGATCCTGACGGGCACGTTACTGGGTCAGAGGAGGAGGGGGCTCTGGAGATGTAAGCTCATCGAACAAGAGGCGCTGGATGTCATTTCAGGGTGGGCGGCTCAGACTGGATATCAGCCTGTGTGTGCTCTCTATCCTGTAGCCAGTGTCTGCTGGCCATGGATCTCTTCTTCAAGAAACGCCTGCGGCTGCGCCGGGCCAAGGTTGGCTCTGCCCTGAGTCAAAACTCTGCCTTGCTGTGCTACGGTAGATTTACCCATTGCATGTGGACAGTGATGCTGTGGTCAGTTCTTTTAAAACCCTCAAGTGAAGGAACACGTTAGTGTGTCCGCATCAATGGATTGCTTTGTGGGGCTTGCTTCAAGGGATAATAATTTATGACGACGTATGCTGTTTTGTGTGCCTTTTGACCAACTTGTGAAGGATATTTAAAACTCTAGGAAATTAATGGGATTTTGATATATTTGAGTGAATTCAGTGGAAACAACAAAAGGGTTGTTTTTGGATATTTATTGTAAATTTTTAGGAGTGTTATATTGCCATATTATAAATTCTTGATGTGAAAAGGAATTCACTAATAGTTTCATGATAAAGGAGTCAGTAATTAATATAAAAGACCCAGCTCATACTGTTCTGCCAGCCCTTCCAAAGAGTCAGTAAGCTGTGTACTCTAACAACTAGAGAACCATTGTATCTTAGAATGAAATCAACCTTTATTTGAAAATGTGATTTCTACAAGCGAAATGTGCCTTGAATGAAATTTGGATATAAACAGTGCCGACCGATGATTTATTCCATATTAATTTTGCATAAGCAAGCGGGATGTTTCCAAATAAACAAAGAGGCATATGCTCCTGTAAGTCGCTCTGGATAAGAGCGCTGCTAATGACAAAATGTACATGTAATGTAAATGACTTAGACTGAGACAGAACTGTCTGGATTCAGGATATGGAGGGAGGGTATCAAAACTAGACTGAGACAGAACGGTCGGATCAGTATTGAGAGTAACGACCTAGACGGAACAGAACGGTCTTGCGAATGCAGTATATGGAGAGTAACGACTAGACCTCTAGACTGGGGACGAACTGTCTGGATCAGCAGTTATATGGAGAGTAACGACTAGACTAGACTGGGACAGAATGTCTGATCAGTATATGGAGAGTAGTGTAAGACTAGACTGAGACAAGAACTGCATTGGCATCAGTATATGGAGAGTAACGCTAGATGGGACAGAAACTGTCGGTGATCAGATATGGAGAGTAAGACACTGACTGAGACAGAACTGCCTGGATCAGTATATGGAGAGTAAGAAGAGTAAACGACTAGACTGAGACAGAACTGTCTGGATCAGTATATGGAGACGAGGGTATCGACTAGACTGGGACAGAACGGCCTGGATAGTATTGGAGGGGAGGGTATCGACTAGGACTGAGACAGAAATGCCTGATCAGTATATGGGAGAGAAGGGTATCAACATACTGGGGACAGAACGTCTGGATCAGTATATGGAGGGAGGGATCGACTAGATGAGACAGAACTGTCTGGATCAGTATATGGAGGGAGGCGGTATCGACTAGACTGGGACAGAACTGCGGATCAGTATCTGGAGGGAGGGGTATGGATCAACGAGACGAGACGAACTGTCGGGATACGTATGGGATGAGGTTATTTGTATCGACTAGACTGGACAGACTGTATGGATCAGATGGGATGAGGTGTTGTATCAAAACTAGACTGAGACAGAACTGTCTGGCATCAGTAGATGGAGAGTAACGACCTTAGCGACTGGGGACAGAACTGTCTGGACAGATATGGGAGTAACGACTACTAGACTGGGACAGAACTTCGGGATCAGTATACTGGAGGAGGGCATCAACTAGGAGGAGACAGAACTGTCTGGATCAGTATATGGAGCGTAACGACTTGGACTGAGACAGAACTGTCTGGATCAGATCTGGAGAGTAAAAGACTGACTGGGACAGAAATGTCTGGATCAGTTATGGAGAGTAACGACTCGACTGGGACAGGAACTTCTGGCTCAGTATATGGAGAGTAACGATAGAATGGGACAGAACTGCGGGATCAGTATATGGAGGAGGGTATCAACAGATGAGCAGAACGCCTGGCTCCAGTATATGGAGATTAACGACGAGGACTGGGACAGAAATGTCTGGATCAGTATATGGAGAGTAACGAACTAGACTGGGAACAGAACTGTCTGGATCCGTATATGGAGAAGTAACGACTAGACTGAGACAGACGGCCTGGATCAGTATATGGAGGGAGGGTATCGACTAGACGGGACAGAAGAAACTGTATGGATAGCTAATGGAGGGGGGTATCAAACTAGACTGAGGGGACAGAACTGTCTGGATCAGTATATGGAGGGAGGGTATCGACTAGACTGAGACAAAGAACTGTCTGGATCAGTATATGGAGAGTCACGAGAGACTGGACAGAACTGTCTGGATCAGTATATTATGGAGGGAGGAGGGGGGTATCAAACTAGACTGAGACAGAACTGTCTGGATCAGTATGGGAGATGAGGTTTTGTTTGTATAGAATAGACGGAACAGAACTGTATGATCAGTATATGGAGGAGGGTATCAACTAGACTGAGACAGAACTGTCTGGATCAGTATATGGAGGGAACGACTAGACTGGACAGAACTGTCTGGATCAGTTATATGGAGAGTAAACGACTAGACTGAGACAGAACTGTCTGGATCAGTATAGGGAGGAGTAACGACTAGACTGGGACCGACAGAACTGTCTGGATCAGTATATGGAAGAGAGTAAACGACTAACTTAGACTGAGAAGAACTGCCTGGATCAGTCTATGGAGGGAGGGGGTTATAGAATAGACTGAGACAGAAATGCTGACTCAGTATATGGAGGGAGGGTATCACGTAGACTGAGACAGAACTGTTGGATTTCAGTATATGGAGGGAGGGATCGACAGACTGAGACAGAAGTCTGGATCAGTATATGGGAGTGAACGACTAGGATGGACAGAAACTGTTTGATCAGGATATGGCGGGAGGGTATCAATAGGAATGAGAAGAACTGTCTGGATCAGTAGGGATAGGTGGTATGACATTAAAGTCCCTGAGGGACTACTGGACAACACAGCAGAGGTTCCCGATGCTGCTCTGGCTGATGGGGTGCGGGGGGTGGGCGGCCAGGGCTCAAAGCCCCACTTCAGAAGGTACCCCTGTGGCATGTGGACCCATTCCAATGTCCTCACGGTACAGGCCAATGAAGCTCTGGCAAAAGACCCCAGGATGGTTGTGCGACAGGCGATGAGGTCCTAATCCACGTTCTTGGGATGTCAGGCATGTGCCACCCACTTTTGAGAACATGGCAAGGAGAGCTGTCCCTTGTGGGAAACAAACTGTCCACCGCCTGCTGTGCTTATGGTCCGCCATAACCACGTAAACAACCGACTGGGCAGGTGTGCTATAGTGAGGATCCCCACTTCCCTAAGATCCAGTGGCCGTCCCCAGAGCTGTGTCCCAGCTGCCATGGGGTTAAGAAGAGTGGAGAACACACCTGGAACCAGGAAGAGCTGCTCACCTTTCTCCGCTCCCACTTCTCCTCTGAACACCTCCTTTCTGACTACCTGGAGGAGAGGCCCAGCTCATCAGCAGGCAGAAGGAGAGCTTGGTCGCCAGGCAGCAGGAGAAGGACCAGGAGGCTAAGAGAGGAGCAAGAGGGAGGGCCAGTGAGGCCTTGGCTGAACCCCTCCAGGCCAGGAGGAGGAGGAGGAGGAAGAAGAGGATGAGAGGAAGGGGCTCAAGAAGAGCCAGCAGCAGAAGAGGAGGTAGAGCAGAGGGCAAGAGGAGAGGCGCAGGGGGGTAAACCTCTGAACCCCCCCCCTGGGTAAAGCCTGAGGCAGAGTGTCCCGCCAGGCCCCAGCGCAGGCCCAGCATCGTGGGGTTGAAGCTCAGGCCCCCCCAGGAGGAGATTGTGGACCTGGACTCCTTCGTCAACCAGCACTACAAGGCTAAGGCCCTCCGCGCTGCAGCCGCAGGGTCCTCCCCGCGTCAAACGCAGGACCCTGCAGAGAAGGAAGAGCCGCAGCCTGGAGCCAGTCTGGAAATGGGCCAGGGCTGGGGCTGGGCTGCAGCCCGTAGAGCCGGAAAGGGCTTGTTGGGGCAGCGCAACACTCTGTGGAAGAGGATCCTGACGGGCCAGTATACTGGGTCAGAGGAGGAGGGGGCTCTGGAGATGTACGCTCATTCAACAAGAGGCGCTGGATGTCCTTCCTGAGCGTGGGCTTCTCCAGACTGGATATCAGCCTGTGTGTGCTCCTCTACTTCCTGTCCTCCATGTGTCTGCTGGCCATGTATCTCTTCTTCAAGAACCGCCTGCGGCTTGCGCCGGGCCAAGGTGGCTCTGCCCTGAGTCAACTCTGCCTTGCTGTGCTACTGTAGATTTACCCATGCATGTGACAGTGATGCTGTGGTCAGTTCTTAAACCCTCCAAGTGAAGGATCCGTAGTGTTCCGCATCAATGGATTGCTTTGTGGTGCTTGCTTCCCGGGATAATAATTATGACGACGTATGCTTTTTTTGTGTGCCTTTTTTGACCACTTGTGAAGGATTATTTAAAACTCTAGGAAATTAATGGGATTTTGATTATATTTGAGTGAATACAACAAAAGGGTTGTTTTTTGATATTTTTTGTAATTTTTTAGGCAGTGTATATTGCCATATTATAAAATTCATTTATGTGAAAAGGAATCACTATATAGTTTCATGGATAAAGTTAGTCAGTAATTCAATATAAAAGACACAGCTCATACTGTTACTTGCCAGCCCTTCCAAAGAGTCCAGTAAGCTGTGTACTCTAACAACTAGAGAACCATTTTATATTCTTAGAATGAAATCAACCTTCTATTTGAAAATGTGATTTTACAATGAGAAATGTGCCTTGAATGACATTTGGATAAACAGTGCCTGACCGATGATTTATCCATATTAATTTAGCATTAAGCAAGCGGATGTTTCCTCAAATAACCAACAAAGAAAAGCATTGGATAGACTCCTGTACAGTAAAA